TATTTTTTGCTACCATTTTTCACTACAATTTTCCCATTTTTCTCTACAATTTTCCCATTTTTCCCTACCATTTTCCCATTTTTCTCTACCATTTTTCTCTACCATTTTCCCCTACCATTTTCCCATTTTTCTCCACCATTTTTCTCTACCATTTTCCCATTTTTCTCTACCATTTTCCCTTTTTTCTCCACATTTTTTCCCTACCATTTTCCCATTTATCTCTACCATCACACTTCAGACAGATAAGAAAGAGACATGAACCCTTTTTAAGGAAAAAAAAAATAAAAAAAAGACATCCATGTACAGCAACAAACAAAAGAACACAGGAGCTCCTCCTGCACCAGGTGGGGTTTCAGGTGAATTCTCAGAATAGGACACTTCCTATGTATCATTTTTTTAATAGAAGAGATATCAGAATAATAATTAGAATTAATAAGATTAATTAGAAGGATGATTCTTATTCCACACTTATTTCTGGGAAATATCAAATCTGAATTTTAAATGAATTAATGTGTAAAAAAAATGAGATTTTCTCTTTTTTGGGCACGTTGCTGATGTGCTTTTTCCATCCTCACATGGAAATGCCCTGTCCACAGCAGGACACTTGGAATCAGATGATTTTAAGGTTCCTTCCAACTCAAAAAATTTCAGAATTCTGTGGTATCTTCCCCAAAAATAAGTGGCCACAATGGATTGGTTTTTCCATCTTATTTTAAAATTTTATTACTTTGAACCAGGGGTGTGAACCAGGTGAACCAAAGGATCCAACAAAGCTTTCGTGAGGCGANGAAATTTTAAAATGTAGTAATTTTCAACCAAATTGGTGTAAGATAGTCTGAAAATATCCAATGAATCATTTAAATTTTCTTTTCATTAATTGAAATTTTAAAATGTAGTAATTTTCAACCAAATTGGTGTAAGATAGTCTGAAAATATCCAATGAATCATTTAAATTTTCTTTTCAATAACTGAAATTTTAAATCAGTTCCTCCTGCTGCAGCCCAGCGGGCAGAGCGCAACCACACTGGGTTTGAAAATATCCAATGAATCATTTACATTTTCTTTTCATTAACTGAAATTTTGAATTTTAACAAATTTCAACCAAATTGGTTCAAGATAGTCTGAAAATATCCAATGAATCGTTTACATTTTCTTTTCATTAACTGAAATTTTAAATCAGCTCCTCCTGCTGCGGCCCGGCGGGCACAGCGCCAACACACCGGGGTAGGTAGGCTGAAAATATCCAAGGAATAATTTAAATTTTCTTTTCATTAACTGAAATTTTAAATTTTAACAAATTTCAACAAAATTGGTTCAAGATATTCTGAAAATATTGCATGAATAATTTTAATTCTTTTTATTATTTGAAATTTTAAATCAGCTCCTCCTGTGGCAGCCCAGCGGGCAGAGCGCGACCACACTGGGTTAGGTAGTCTGAAAATATCCAATGAATCGTTTACATTTTCTTTCATTAACTGAAATTTTAAAAATTTTCAACCAAATTGGGTTAAGATAGTCTGACAATATTGCATGAATCATTTACATTTTCTTTTCATTAATTGAAATTTTAAATCAGCTCCTCCTGCTGCGGCCCAGCGGGCACAGCGCCAACACAC